AAGAAATATTATTTACTCCGTTAACAAGCCTTTTTCAATTAAAAAAGTTGTTTTTAACATAATTAAAATACAATTCCTTGCCCTTTTGACTTTTTAATTCTATGTATAATACTACCTTTTGTCCTTAATATAAGAACTAATTTGGTATTTAATTTGATCCTAAATATAAGACTTAAATTTACTTTATCTTTTATATTTATTTATTTATTTAAAATAATTCTTTTAGTAGTTGCACTTAGCTAATGCATATAATTAGCAAGAGCAATTTAGGAAGGATAACATATATTTATTATAAATAACTAGCTTAACAAACTTTCTGAATCTACTTAAATTAATCAACTAACTTTTATATTAAATACATGAAGTAGTAAGTCGCATCTTTACCTGTTATAATTGGAAGAACACGATTGGCCCTTTTCAATATTATTCTCATCATACTTGTATTCACAAGCTTTGTATATAATTTGCTGAGAAATATACATATATAATTGTGTTGGTATTTTGAATATTTTTATTTCTACAGGAGTTGGATTTTGGGATTCATTAGGATTAATATATGTCTTCAAATTCAAAGAGTGCATGGTTGTAAAGGTTCTTTTGAAGTATTCTAAATATACACATTGTAACATTCCTTAGGAAATTTTAATCACTATTCATTTTTTCCTATCATTAAAATTTGGATTAAAAAAAATAGGGCGTTAAGCACAAGCCGGGTTGGGTTTTGGCCTGATATTTAAAAAAAACAAACAATGAAAAATTTAAAAAATAAATTAAAAACAAGATGAGATCTCTGATTCTTTTTTACAGTATTGATGCTGAGAGGATGTTTCATTCTGGGAGTGTTCATTTTGGATGGGATTAATTACTTGGAAAGAATCACAACATACGTTGACTCGAGGATAATTCTGATTCCAATATATACATTTGCTTCAAGAAATAAAAGTTTCTTAAGGAAAAATCTAAATAAAATAATATAAAGTTATATCTAATTAGCTCTCCTCTACCTACTAAACCAAACAAGAAATCTCTTCTTTATTAACTTCTCCTTCCCTCGATTGAACCAAACAAAGCCTTAATTAATGATATTTGCATTTTTAAAATTTTAAAACTATACAATCAAAATATGTATCTTTCATGACGAAAAATACCTGTTCTAGAACACATACTTATTTTAATTTTGATTACTTTCTTTTCTGTTATATCTCCTAAAAAATTACTAAATGTTCTTTTTATATATTATTAGGAGGGTTTGAATCCTTGATTTCTAAATTTCAATTAAAAAAAAAACCATTAATTTCTACTCACACCTTCCCACCAAGCCTCAAGTCGTTTAATGATTTCTTTTTTTTTTTTTAATAAGGTATCATCAATATTGCTATCAATCAAGGATAGTATCAAATCTCACTCATATCAACTACGTACCACAAAAAAAGGCCTATCTAGCTTTTCATTTTTCTTTTTCTTTGGGGTAAACTTTGCTTCCTTATTTGTTGTTAAAGAGACGGGTCATATTGCCATGGGAAGGAGGGGGATATGTCCTTGATGTTAATAATTCCATATCAATGTGTGTGTATGCATATGGTAAAGTACAACATCTCATATATGCTTTTCTAGTGTTTTTAACACTTTACTTTTATTTATGATGCATCTAGCATCTTGAACTATAAATAAATTTAAGATACTAGATGTAATATTATGGAGTGTTAAGTGCATTAATGTCGTAATTATTTTTAAAAAAATAAATTTGATTACTTGCAAGCCATAATTAACGTGGCTGATTTTTTTTGTTTGTTTTAAGATTTCGCCATGGAAGGCACGCCCACAATGAAAGTAGGGAAAGATGCGAAGAAGCCCACCCAAATGTTTATGGCTGCAGAGAAGTCCATGGTTATCAGAAAGCAGTACTTCCAGGTTTTATGGTTCAACCCCACCTTGTCTTCTTAACTTGTAACCATGTCCTTTTCTTGTAGGGACATCGTGTATGCACCTAATACCCCTCCTCACTTCAAATTTCATCCACATTTTCCTTATCAAGAGTCTATTTTCTCATATATAGACTTTTTTTTTCATGTTTTTTTAACTGTTACATCACATTGTAATCTATGTTCAGGATAAGGAAAAATCACCTTGTACTTGTTGACTTTCTAATCAAGTCATATGAGAAGAGGAGATACACTAAAGACTGATGATGTAGAATTTGATTCTCATCATAAATGTTCAGAGAGTAGTAAGGAATCAAAAATTTGTTGAAATAGTTTTTTTTTTTTTTTGGAATACTAGAAGCATAATCTCACTTGTTTAAATTTCAAGAGCTCCCATCACTCACATGAAATTGAGTTTATTAAAATAATACTTTTTATAATCTCATAGAAATTGAGAATTTGGTGAGAAGATACCAGACCCATTAGAAATTTATTTATGTATATTACACAACAAATCTTGACATGGGATTATCAAAAGAGTAGCGTAAATATAGAGTATAGAGGATTAAGTAATTGTAACTATAGAGTAGAGAGGGTTTAATTTGCAATTTATTATAAATGAATGTATATTTCAATGGCGATTTACCAAAAGGGATTGAAAACATCAATTGAGGGGCAAAAAAGATAGGGCACATTCACAGCGATCCAAGCATGCATGAAGCATAAAAGACGGGACTTTTGGGACAACAATGACCACATGAAACCTTACTTTAAGAATGCTTGGTTCTCATTAAAAGAATTCCCATGAAACTTGTCAAAACATGTTTCTTCCAAAGATCATAAGGAGAAAAACTAACCCTTATTCTGTACAATGCCTGAGGATGATCTTCAAGATCCTGTTTAGTGTAGCAACATATGAATCAAGACAAATTATGTTGCTCTATCATTGACCATAGAATTTTATTTTTTTGGACAAATTCAATTTATGAAAGCTAGCTAGCAAGCTAGAGCAATCAAAATTATCATAAATAATTAAGTATATATGAGTATGGTCATATGCTTTGTGTTTTTTTTCCCATAAGAAAAACATTACTTTTGAAAAAGTCAAAAAAGCTAAAAAAGATGTCTTTAGCTTTTTGTTTATAAAGATGAATTTTTTTCCTCTTATTCTTTCATATCATGTTTCTCTAAAGGACTACCCACAAACCCTTGTTCCATAACAAGCCTATTTGGTTGAGGATCAACCATTTGGTTTGATATTTAGGCCATTCCTCCAACTTTAATTAGTTCAATTCTGTGTGTGTGTTTTCGTCACAGAGAGTGATTGAGATATTTATCTCTAAGCATTTTGTGGCGGCCTTGCATAGCTTTGCCGATAATAGAGTAATCAAATATGTGTGGTGTGTGATTAATTAGTCCAAGAGCAAAAAAAATCTGCTTGTACTGTAACTTTTGGCCTGAAATTTTCTCACAGCTTTGGGCAATGAAAGCAACCAGACGTGTTTCAGCATGCAGGCAAGATGATCAGAACAACCAGACCATCCAATCCACATGCAATTGATTTAATTTTGCAGCTTACATGCTTGATGAAATGCACTTCCATGACTGGTCGGCCGGTCCAATTAATTTACGATACATCTACTTTGAAAGGCGACAATGAGTGACCCAAATAACCATCTTGATCTGTCAACGTCTTTCTAGGGCCAAGAAACCAGAACCATGCATTGATTTCTAGTAGACTTTTTAGCATGCATGAAGCTGAAGTCACTTTAACTGAAAGTGGCTATGTGAAACTAAACATGTTTCTTCATGTTTCAGAACTAGCGGTGGACAAAAATTCTACAGTAACTCGTAAGAAGCATCAGGATTTTTTTTCCTTAAAACAAATCTTCTGCTGCCGATATTCTCAATGGAAATATTAGATTCGAGGCAACTTTCATTGGCTTAAATCATATGGTCTTAATGAAACTGTCATGGTCATCTTCTTCAAGTGAGCCTCAACTAACTGGGTTACATATGGTTTTCATGCAGGGTCTGTGATGTGTCTCTTTTGGTTCATATGCAACACACACGTGTGTATGTGCCCACACCACACAGTGACTACTATTATGACCACTACGTCCGACACTTACATGTGGGGGCTATATATATTTTGATGGGCCAAATGATCTATTGACTAACGCCAATATCAAGAAAGGAAATTAAAGATGTTTATACTAAGTTTGCTGTTTGCATGTGTACCAGTTCTTTTGCAAGGAAAAAGTCCATGCCACCATTATCTTTTGCTCCTTTGGTGGGACTTCATATTACATACAATATATATATGTGTATATGTGTGTGTGTGTGTGTATTACATGATGATGACACTTCCGAAGATTTTGAGTTGTTTTGGATGTTATATAGCTAGAGTTAGCTGGGTATATAAGACATCAATTAACGATCTGCTAAACGGATAATTATATATCTCAGTTATCCTGTTTTTTGAATCAGCCAGTGGTTGGGAATTGAAATATTACCCACTAAGAGGCTTGCTATGATGAAAAAGGCTGGGCTATGAAACTACCTAACTATGGTAGATCTATGAAAATCAAAAGTAATTACTTGTAAAATAATTACTTTAGACCTTTAAGAGTGACTTAAAAGCCTTGGTGGGTTCTACATAATTATTGTTGTCTTTGGACAGCTAGCTTGTGTTACATGCTCTCGAGACTTGGGATCCATAGCTATTTCCTTCTTAAAACCCATTCCCCATCACTCAATTTGGTAAAAGTAAATAGAATCCAAGGAAGCACAGTTATTTTGCCCTTCACAAGCCCTGACACAAACCTATAGTTTTTCTTAGCAACAAAAATATTTGAAAAGAAATGTAGAGCCCACTCCTTCTCTATTACTTATGCTCAAATTCATATCCAGTGGGTCTCACCAAAAAACCTCCAAATCTTGTCCTTCATCATATAAAATTATGGCTGGATAGTTATTGATTATTCTAAACTGATGCTCTCATCGCCCTCCCACTAATCTCAATCATTTCAAACCCCTTAGATTCCTTTGCATCTTTAAAAGCCCTTGCCCTTAGTGTTAGATATTGCTACACCTACTTCACCCATAACTCCTTCATCAACAGCTCTTGAAACCTTGCACTGCACCATGTCCATAGCGAGCGCTATAGACTCTGAAAGGAGTCACAAGAAGTTGTTCCACTACAGAAATGATTCAGGCGAGCTTGATGTGTTTGAAGCTGCAAGGTACTTCTCAGGATACAATGAAGCTGTTGGCTATAATGGCTCTGGTTTTACTCAGAAGATCATGAGAGAAGATAGGCATGGACACAGAGGCAGAATCAGCTTAGACATGCCCATGAGAAGCTTACTTCCTCAACACTTTCATGGGTTGGAGAAGCATGGGAAGGAGAAGAAACACAAGCAGCCTAGCTCTCCAGGTGGTAGGCTTGCCAGCTTCTTGAATTCTCTCTTCAGTCAATCTGCATCAAAGAAGAAGAAATCGAAATCAAGCAAGCAATCTATGAAGGATGAGGATGAGAGTCCAGGTGGGAGGAGATGGAGGAGGAGCAGCATTAGCCATTTCAGAAGCTCCAGTACTGCAGATTCAAAGTCCCTATATTCTTCATTCAGTTCAGGGTTTAGAACACCTCCTTATGTTCAAACCCCAACAAAAAGCTGTAAGGAATTCCGAACCTTCTTAGACCAGAAGCAGCAACCAGTGCCAGTGTCAAAATACAATAATGGGCATGTAAAGTCAACTTCCTTACAGAATGTGTCATTGTGGGATGATAAGAAAAAGAAAGATCATCAGCCAACTGTTTTGGATGACAATTGCAAAACAAGAAATGTTCTATCTGAGAAAGATAGGATATGGGTGGAGAAACACTGTCCAGAGGAAAAGGAATTCAAGAAGTTCAATGAAGTGGATGATGGTGCAGAAAGTGATTCAAGCTCTGATCTGTTTGAGTTGCAAAATTATGACTTGGGTTACTACCCCAGTGGTCTTCCTGTTTATGAAACTACTAACATGGATAACATTAAGAGAGGAGAACCAATTTCCAATGGTCCTCTGTGATATTGTATTTTTACTTTTAGTTTCTCTGCTTAGTTGTTTCTTGTCTAAGTTTGTTAACAGATTTGGAAAGAAATTAAAATCTCCTCTATTATGCTTGTTTGTCCTCTGATATTCTTTTCAACTCCTTTTAATGCTCTTTTATCTGTGTGCACAGGTGCGATTGTTTGCTTGTCTTATCTTTTATCTACTTTTCCTTGCTTTTGGACATTTGTATAGCGTGACAAAAGAAAAGAGCTGCCAAAAAACTAAAAAAGATATCCACCCACCATTGATCAGATTTGTGCCGTGATTATAGTTCTCTCACAAGATTCTCATGAGGTTTGCGCCAATCAACCTTATTGACTTTGGAGACGGAAGAATCAAACCCCTTTACCTGCAAGCTTCTGATATGCATGAGAGGCCATTTTCTTCTTTAGGGAATGAATCTAAAATTTAATAAGCTAAGCTGTATGTATGAGAAACATATATGTGAAGTCTCAACAGATTCATCCTTTTCATCATTACTGATGATGAATTAAATCTTCAAGAGTAGAGACTTGATTATTGTCATTATTATTATTTTTTGTTTTCTTTTTGCATATGAACGTTGTATGTGAGAATCTGGCTGACTGATAGAGCCACAAATTACTGTGCCATATAAATCACAAGCTGATTATCATGCAGTGAAAGTTGGTTGAAATTATTAGGGTAAAACTTGTAAAGAAAGCAAATATTGGTGAGCAATTGATGTGACTTTTTCCATGTTAACGTGAAGAACAGTGATGAGATTACTACATGTTACTGAGGTTACTGAATCAAATAAGAACTGTGAAGAAAAGAACAAAAGAATTATTCAAGTTCTGTAGTCCGTACCTATATATAATATCCGTGGTTGTTCCCAGCAGATTAGCTAAGATAACTCAATAATTAGGGTTGATATAACAATACAACGAAATATCTATCCCAATCAAATCATCAGCATAGTAAGTCAAGCAAAATCCTATTCTGTGTAATTTCTTGGTGTTAGAGACAGAAGCCAAACAAGCACCAAGAATGAATAAGGAAGGAATATGTCAGGCACAACTTTTCAAGTTAACTATACATATTTTTTAATTGAAAGCAGCAGAGAAATCTCTCATGAAATGAGAATGGAAAAGAAAATCAATACTTAACTCAGTTTCCCAACACACACATGTTCATCGATATGGACAAATGTTTAGTGGCTTTTTCACTTTCTGAACATATTTAATTTCGGTTCTCATAATAAAATTAAATGCTTGATGTGAATAAAATACCACTTGTAGAGCTTAGGAAACAAGTGCATATGGGTTAATTATTAAGTAATCAGACTTTAAACTGCACATTTTGTGAACTGAAGTTACAGGGGATGCATGCTCTTACATCTGGAAAGCTTAAAGTTAGTGGAAGGAGGTAGATGATGAACCAGTTGGATAGCCTTTTTGAAAGAATGATCCACACAAATGATGCATGTGGGTCCGCCCAAAAGAAATGAAGCTAATCACTAGTGAGTGGAGGGAGGGACCAAAATGTTGCAATTCAAATTGAATTGCCATTGCACTTCCAATGGTTATCTACACACACCCAAAAACAAATATGAAGTTAACTTCTCTGTAAGTGTGTTCATATCACTTATACCTACAATAGCAGTACTTTATCAATGATGTTGTAGCCTGAGTGTTTGCACCTATGATTTAAAAGGGGAAAAAAAATACTAGTACTTGGATTGCACCTAGACAGAGTAAGAGTGAATGCAGCTAAAGAGAAGCTAAACTTCACTATGCTGCTCTAGAGAAGAGATAGGGACATGGAAAGCGATGGAGAGAGAGAGAAATGCCTATCTTTTACAATGCGATCAAATCTTTTCTTTATTTTGTAAAAGGGTTGTTTTAAAGAGAATTTTCGACCGTCAAATGATTTTGAGATTTGTGATGAATAATATTTTACTGCTATAAAGATCATAAACTCAGCCTCGGGGGGAAATTCGAAGCCTGCATAGCCAGGAAGCATATATTAATGATGGATATGGATGATTATTACCACCATTAAATCACATTTAGAGCTATAAATGTTTCCACTTTTCCGGTTAAGTGTGAACCCAAGTGGATTAGACAGTTGCCAAAAGGATTTTAAGATCATGATTGTGTTTAGTTTTTCATTGTTCCAACGTGAAAAGGTTATTATTTTTCATTCCTTTATTGCTTTACATACAGCAATCCGTAGAGAGTTTTCCATTTCTATCCTTGAATTAAAAAAAAATTATTTAAAACTTTCAAAAAAAAATCTACAAGTAATCTCCACAACCTTTAAAACTTAATAACAAACCTTCTTTAACTTCTAGGCTTTATTTTTATATGCGTATAACTCTTCAAAACTTAGTTAAATGCATATAAATCTCTTAAATTTTGAACTATTTTAAGTAATAAATTTGAGAATAAAATATTTTGTTAAATTTTTAATATAGAGGGGATAACAATTTATAAAATAAAATGAATTTTTTTAGCCATATTCTATGATATTATTTTAATATATACTTGTACAGATGAAGCTAAAATATTCAAATTAAATATGAAAAATTCATACTCTTATCAGCATTGAATGAAAACCCTCAAGTTTTCAAATTATCCCAATGAAAAACAGTTTTACTCTTAACATTCACAAAGAAAAAAGAGGGGAAAATAATTTTTTTTTTGAGGTACAGGTATTCTTCTATTGGATGCAATCTTGTTTGAGGTACTATCAGACACTAAATGTGAACACCTTTCTTAGTAAAGATTCAAACTTTGATTCATTATATTATGGGAGACTAACTCCTTCTACTAAACTCAATCCTCCCGTTAGTTAAGAAATAATGTTATTGAATGACTTTGAAAAAGAAAAATAAAGGTTGGTCGTATAAAAAAAAACAAGAAGAAGAAGAAGAAGAAAGAGTAGACAAGGTTGGAGAGTCAGAGACTGAAATAAACATATGTATATTTTAAAAAAATGAAATAAATATAATAATAGCCGCTCCAAACTTCTGGCCTATCATGGAAGTCCATAATCATTCCCAAGCTGAGCTGGGCCTGTCGTTCTAAATGCATTGTCCCCATCCAATATTTGGCATTGAAGCCCAAAATCTTACAGCATAATTACATGACAACTTAATTGTAAATGGGATATCGCGGATGGGATCTCATTTGTACTAATTCTAATTTTTTTAAAAAAAAATTGATATTTCAGTGTTTTTAATAAAAATAAGCATGACATTGTCCAAAGAAAAAAGATCGAAGTGTTTCAATGATTACCATGAAAATCTTCAAATTTATGGGTTATCCTATCCACCATCCCAGTAGCTCTCATTACAGCAATATTAACCTTTTCGAGGGAAAAAACCTCAGGAAATGGTTACGCTTACAGTCACATTTTTATTTCCATTTTTTCTTATAGAAGCCTCAAGCAGAAACTATTCTCAAAGCCATACACAAACTGTTGGACCCAATTTGATATGATGGATTAGCTTTAATGAAATTAAAATAGGAAATGAAAGAACTAACAGGGATTAGATCTAATGAAAGAGGATAATTTCTCATAAATTGATTAATCAAAGTTTAAATTTCTATTGAAAGATATACTTATATTTAGAGAGTGTTTGGGTAGAAATTAGAAAACAAACCATCATTTCAAAAGTGATTTTACAGTATACGAAATAAATATATGAGAGAAGTTTTATCTTAACTTGAGTGAATGTACTTTTTAAAGTGCTTTTTGGATAAAACAAACACTCCTTAATGTCTAACAATATCTTGAATAAAATTTACTTCTAATAAAAAGATACCTAAAAAAAGGGAAATACAATATGAATTGGTATTGAAATTTGAAAATGGATTTAAAATGTCCAGTGTGCAAATGGAATCCTTGTATAATTCTTATAAGGAATTCGTATAAAACACCAAAAAGACTAAAATGCCCTGTTCAAAATGGCAGGGTGGAAATGGATTCTGGCTAATTTGAGAAAATTGGAGTGGCAGTGATTTTGTTTTAACAAATTACCAAACACCCCGGCACATAAATTCCTATTTCGTTTTACATTTTCCTTGTTTTCGTTATTGTGTACCAAACATATAAATTAATGTATAAGCCATAGGTTAAGGCATCGCATGTTTGGCAATATGTTTTGCTAACTCAAAACGCGGTTTCAAAATACATTCTCTAAAAGCAATCCGAAAATGAAAAATAAAAAATGAAATATGAGTAGCATTTAAGGTTCGGATATTACAAAATTAAAAAAAAATCTAAATTATGAGAAGATTGTACATATATATAGACAACCATTTTTTTTTAATCCAAGGAATCGATACTGACAAGCCTAAAATTATATTATAAATGAGATTCACTTGCAGAAAAATATTTCATGTCACTAAACTACAACTAAAAACTGGGGCATAAAAGCAACTATTATTGATTTTAATAGAAATGAATTTGTTGTGCAAAAATTAGTCATATCTAACTATCTTTTCATATTTAATTATTGAACACTTGAAGATAATTGAGGCACAGAAGATGCAGGCTTGATGGACTTTTGTGGCAACGCCTAAAAGGTCCCAAAAAAAGCGTGTCAAGCAGAATCTCTTACTTGTCATGCTTTCTCAGTGCCTTTGGCATTATCCTTCAATTGTGATGTATAATATATTTGAAAAATTATAAAAATTGTAAGAAGACACCACCTGGTCTAATCACATTTCTTAAGAAATCTATTATTTTTAATAATAATAATACACCACCTATCTAAATGATTCATACTGGCAATCAAAATAAAAAAAGGTAAAATTAGAATGATGGTTGACTCATAATTATGAATGATCCCAAGTTTTAATGCCAGATCCAAGCAATAAGATCAATTAATTCTCATTGGGGGGTTTTAAACTTTAAAGTAATGACCTTTATTAAATTCAGTCCAATTTAGCAGTTTTTAGCATTTTACATACCAAAAAGCAAATTAGTATATGTAATAATTATTATTATTAAAATATTTTTGGATTTCATGTCATTTTGTTAATGACTTTCCATGCATATTTCATACAGATAAAAAAAAACTTTAAACTACAGTAACCATATCTTAAATATTTAGTGACTTTTCATTTTTATCTTTATTTAAAAATATACACTTTTTAATAAAATAATATTATCTGCGGTCCTTAATATAAGAGCTACTTGACTAATTAAAAACTAGTTAAATTAGTTATTTGTCATAAAGATATATTCTCTTTTCTAAAACATCTTTGTTAATCAAGTATATGAACTAGAACCGTCATTATAACAAGGACTACCTTAAAGAAAAGAATAAATATGAGAGAAAAACATATTAGGATCTTATATTTAGGATCAAAATACAAATCAAACGAACTCTTATATATAGAGTAACAATTTTTATTCACGCATGGAACAACATTTATATATTAAACATTATCTTTGATAGTTTTACATCCATCCTATCATCTATATAATATTATATTGTTTTTATTAAATTTTCTTTTAATTAAAAAAATTATAATATTAAATTATTTTTATATCATTATCTCTTTCATATGGTATGTAAAAATATGTAATTTTATAGATATTAGGTGGAGAATGAATCTTAAAAAAAAAAAAAAGATGAATAAAGAAATGGAGTTGGTGGGGATTTTGTGGCTGCGGCATGCAATAAAATAGTGAATTGAAAATGAAAGCCGAAGGGACTCGCGGTCCCATTCACACTTCCCATCTGCTCCCTCACTCATCTATCTATTAATGATGTCTTACACCAAAAATAAAAATTATAGTTATATTAAAAAAATGATATTTCATAAAATATAATAATACTTAAATACTTTATAGTTACATTAAACTCCTCCCCTCCTCATTTTAGCTAAGTACACTTGATAGCTATATGAAAACATGACATATTAGTTTTTATTTTTTTAAAAAAATTAAGCTGTATTTCGGGTGAAAAAAAAATCATATTATTTATGAAGTTTTTAAGTAAATTTTATATCATATATTGATATGAAGATTAAAGAATAAATTGAACTTTGCATGCATATTTTTTAAGTGTTAAAATTTACCATAATTTTTTTACATACACTCGTGATTGATTTATTAATATACTGATGTGCTGCAATAAACATTTGATGTGGATATTTCAAGTTGTATTTGAACTACATAAAATTTATTAATTTTTTTAAAAACACTAATGATCTGGATTTGCATGGAAAATCTTAATTAATATGCACAAAACCAGTTATCGTTTTTGTGTATAAAAATACGTATAAAAATCGAAATTTCCTTCATCTCTTCATTTCGTGTCTCATCGCAAAAGGTGTTTTATGAATAAAATGGGTGTGTCACGCTCCACTGCTGGCCGAAAGAAACAGACGCAATTATAAAAGCATATTAAATTATCGTGAAAAAATAATTCTGTCCATGTAAAATTTATATTTATAAATTTAATAACATGCCATATAATTTTGACACGTCATCACCTAATGATAATTATTAATTTATAGCTAATTCCATTATAATAAGTTAGTTAATAATTGACATGAGTGATGAGGATTTTATTTTAAGAAATCAGATTGAAATGTATCTATACGACAGAGATTGAATGTTTAAAATATTAAAAACATGTTTATATAGCATCTGACATTGATTTAACCTATTATTTTTGTGGATTTAATTTATAACAAAAGTATTTATATATATTAATGGAGAATACTTACATCAAGTTTTTTATATCATTATATCGTTTTCAATCATACATGACTATATATAGTATTTTTTAAAATATTAAAATTTAACAGTATTTAATTATAAGCCCGCATGAAAAATTAGGATGTATAATCACATATAATTAGAGAACTTAATATAATATATATAAAAAACTTTGTCAAAGTATTTTCCTATATTAATTATATATCATGATTAGAAGGTTATATAAAGAGAGAGAATGACAAAATCTAATAAAAAATGACGTAAGGATTATATTTATTTATTTATTTATTTGTCTCGTGTGTTTCAGACAATCACAGGCTTCCTAGCGCATCATGCGAATTGTGTGGCAATGGGTTTTCGGACTTGAAATGAATCTAAGTGATGGGATTTTCTTTGGAAAAAAAAAGTGAAAATTTTTTAATATAAAATTTATTATCCAAAGTACTTCGCGACCTGGATCTCTAAGTGGGTAATTCTTTTTCAGTTATAGACAACATATTTTTTGTTATATACATTTCGTTGCACAACATATCACATAGTTGAATAGAGGCTTTTTAGACAAATATTTTATAATGGGAGATTTTTGGACAATTTTCTCCTTTTCTTAAGGAAAAAATGGAATCATGAAACATGAGTAATTTTTTTTTTTGTATAATTTAGAGTATCCTCGAGTCATTTTAGATTTGAAATTAATTTCTGTCAAGTCAGAAACGTAAAAGTTAAAGTCCTCTTAATAAATATGTTTTTCGAAATTTAAATTTGTGTTTTTCTTCTTATAAGGATGAGATTGCTTACCATTTTAATTAATAGATTGCTGGTTTAATGATGTTTTACATAGCCAACAACTACTTCTAAATTGAAAAAGATGAGAAAAAAGAAGGAAGCGATTAAATGGGGGAAAAAAAATGATGTATACGTATTCTTTATGTTAGCATTTTAAAATCATAACCCTTTCATCTGCATTAAAAAAAAACTCCATAAAAAATTATAGCCCTCTCAAGTTTATGTACTGAGAAAGGCTTCTTTTCTAGGAAATTGTCGAAACCCAAAAAAATTGGACAAAAGTTTTCTAATTAGAAATTTTGTTGGTAAAAAAGATTTGATAAATTTCTATATAAAGAAAATATCAGTACTGTGTAAATTTTTATCCACACTTTGATTTAAGTCCTTTTTACTAATAAAATACTTCTCCGGTCCTTAATATAAGACCTGTTTAACTAATTTGATTAGATTAAGGAAGTTAGGTAAGTTAGTTAATTATAAAAAATGTGACACGTTTTTCCTAAAATACCATAATCATCTTTCTTAATACCCCCTCTTCCTCTTCTACTTAATTATGGTTGAGGGAGTATCTATAGGAATAATTTAGAGAAATTGATAAATATGAAAAATGAGTCTTATATTTAAGACCAAAACCAACTCAACAATTGAGTCCTATATTAAGGACCAGAGGTGTATTTAATAAGGGAACTTTTTTTTCCAATTTTTCCAATCGTAAATTAGTCTCCTAGAATACCAATTTTATATCATTCCCTAGGATCAAAATTGAATTTCAGAATTTGGGAGAAATGATTTTAATCTCCTCACCTAAACAAATCCCACTCTGTTAAGGGGGGAAAAAAACCACTTTGATGGTTAGAGCCCTATATTTTAAAGGCGTGTTCCCATAAATAATAAATAAACAGTATAATTATATATTTACATAAAAATTTTAATAAAGTAGATTTAAAGAAAAAAGACATTATTATATCAGATTTTTTTTTGGTAAATAATTATCTCAGATTTTATGAATAGGAGGACATGCTCTGGAACACAGTGAGGTGTTGGCCTCCACATTGCACAATGGATGGGGCCACTCAAGGAAGCCTCCGAGGATCTTCCATCACACCGAAATCTCTGAATGCCATAACCACATGAAAATCTTTTTCCCAAAAAAGTCTTTTATTTTTTCGCCAGAGAAAAAAAGGTATTTAATTATAATTTGTGTCTTTAAAAAGATGAAAAATCAAGTATGGATGCCTAAGGGAGGAATGGATTAAACGCCTAAGTTAGTAAATTAAACTAAACTTTCACCAAACAAATGAAAGATTATTCTTTTCTATACATTTTGAACCTTTTACTACAAAAATATTAAGATTATTTATAGACAAAACATTCAAGGCAAACGACGAATCTACATTCAATTATTCAGTGGCATTATTTTCCTTCTTTTGGGCAGATAGTGGCTAACTGGTGAATAATATTATTAGTTAACAAATCACAATTAGTCTTAAAGCAACTCAAATAACCGAACAACATCTATTTATTAATTATCAAGTCGCTTCGGCTCCCCACATGCTGGCCTATATTTGTTTCATGCTTGACTAGCTATCAAAATGTTATTTCTTCAAAATTTAATTTACCTAACTAACTAAATTTTGTTATGTCTATTTTGACTTCTATTACTTAGATTTATGCTTTTTGTGATAAAGGGGCAAGAAAAAGCTTGCATTGCTGGGAGATGAGTTTCCCCGCAATAGTACAAGTTCATTAATGATCTTCATCTTGCAGCTGTAACTAGGCAGGGACTCCATTTTCTGTGAATAGAATGAAGTGTTGTGGGTTGAAATGGAATTTCAATATCTCTCAAAAGCTACAAAAAGACCTTGACATGCTTTTGGTTGCAGTGGAAATCATGTTGACTCACGCTGTATCTGCTTCGACTTTGCCACTATTCTGAGAAATCCCTCATTTCTCTCTCCTTCTCTCTCTCTCACTTGTTCACTGTTCACTGTTCACTCTATCCCTGCAATAAACCACTCACACGCTGCCACCCCTTTATCAGGTTATCTCAAAGATGTCATTTTTTTGATGCATATTCTGTTTGGTTCTTGCGAAACTGTGTTGATGAATCATAAATTGGCAGAGAAACATGGAATAATATGGTACCCAGTCCCCCCCCCCCTCTTTCCCTTAATCTGTTAGCGGCCAACTTTACCGTTTTATTGCGGTTTGTTCTATTTTCTTGGGAGAAAAGGACATGGTTCCCTCAACACTGATTCTCATGATCGTTTCCTGGGCATTTTTAACGTGTCTTCCTTCATAAGTTCTTCCGGAGCAAAGTTTGACCTCTAAGCTTTTTAATTTAACCATTGGGATTCCAAAATTTGATGACAGCATCAAATCCTTCAACCTGGGTTTGATTTCGTTGACCCTCTTAAGAAATTGTCTGTCTGGTTCCTTGTTTTGCCTTAGTGAGAACGCTCCTGTAAATTTGGATTTTTGACGCTGTCTCATGCCTCTGAATAGAAGTAGGATCTGGTCAATTTTATTTGCCGTCTCACTCGAACTTTTGGGGAATTTGTACTTTTTAGTGATGATTTATCAATTATCTCTAAAAATTCATTATCTTTGCATGGATGACTTGTACCTATGTAGTCTGCCTAATAAAATCTTGAAAATATAGCAGAAGAGTAACTGTTTCTTTGGATTGTGGCAGGCACAGACATTTTGGCATAGCTTCTGCAACTTTAGTTCATCTTTACTAATGGAATCTTGGAGTTACGCGTCAGAAGAGAAAAGCTATTTGTTTTCAGATGAAATGGATTTCCCGCTGGATGCTTATATGAGAAGTAGAAGACCAATGGTTGAATGGGACAATAAAGCCTCTTATATCTTTGAGAAAGATGGGTTTGTTTCAGATAAAGAGGTAATTAAAAGCGTGGAGTTTGTAGACTTGGGGTTTCCTGATTTGTTCAGAAGGCCTGTTCATGGTAGCCAGCCACCGGAAGCATCAAACTGTGAGCATGACAGTGATTCTAGTAAGAAAATTAATTCCTCTACACATGTTATAGCTCTAAATTCACCTTTGGGTGAAGTAGAATCTGAGTCAAGGCATTCATGTTCTCTAGTTGAACCTAAGATCCATGATTCTTCACTGATTGATTTAAAGCTAGGGAGAGTAGGAGACTGTAAAGATGCAAGTAGTGATAAGAATGACAATGAGGGGTTCGCTTTTCAACCTATGTATCCATCCACGCTTACAAAGAGAGCTCGCACTTCCAGCTTACCTACCCAAACACCTGTTTGTCAAGTTTATGGTTGTAGCAAGGATCTTAGCTCCTCAAAAGAGTACCACAAAAGGCACAAAGTTTGTGATGTTCATTCCAAGACAGCCAAAGTTATTGTTAATGGAATTGAACAAAGGTTTTGTCAGCAGTGCAGCAGGTTATTCATTCTTCCTTCGTCAATATTACATTTTTTTTGTTATAATAAGATGATTACCTCATGACATGTATAGCAATTAAAGTAATTTTCTAATGTTTTCCAAGCATCCTTCTTCATAGCTAGAACTTAGTGTTTGAAAATGGAACTTCTTGGTTGTTACTTTACTAATTGAATTGTATTGCCTTTTGGTTTCTTAATTAGGTTCCATTTGCTAGCTGAGTTTGATGATGGCAAGCGCAGTTGTCGTAGACGCCTTGCTGGACACAATGAACGTCGAAGGAAGCCTCAGTTTGATTACATCTCTGGTAAACCACAGAAGATAATGCAGTCATGTCAAGGTATGCAAATCCTTGTCTCCAACATAACAAAAAACATAACAAAAAAACATAAAATGAGAAAGCTAGGCATATTGGTGCACGCACACTCTTTTTGTTCTCCCTGCCTTCTCATCAACCCACTAAAAAGAGGGTGAAAACTCCCCTATGTTTGGTATGAGGGAAATGTTTTGGGGGTTGGGTGGGAATTTAATGAGGTCGATTTAAAAAATTCGAAAAGTGGGGCTATAAAATTTTAATAAACAAAAGATGTAAGATTAAAGAGTAAGAAAAGTGAATTAAAAGTTTTTAACCCCACTTTAATTTTTCAAACCAAGCTAATTAAAATTTTTCTTCCCTCATACCAAACAGACGGCATTCATCTACTTTAAAAGTCATAGGCTTTGATGTGAAAAGTTGGTAATAGTTAATTTGATAATTAAGAAGTTTAGAGATCACACTCTCACGCTTATAAATTTCTTGCCCCATTTATTTGTTGATTTTTCATTGCTGAAATTGCTTTATTATTTTCACTCTCTTGATTCTCAAACTCAAACTTTTGTAGTGGATGTATTTCCTCTCAGAGAGAGTGTCTTGTGTTTGGTGTGTGTTTGAAGAGACCATGATATACGGATTTTGTAGCATGGCTCTCATGGGAAAACAATCCAGGTTTGGGATATTGTATTTGTTGCCTTGTGACATAAACAATATATTTATTGATTTTCAAACCTTGTCATTTTAGCGGCCCAAAAAAAAAAAAGCTTGTTAGTTCAGATATGGTAATGGCCTGGTGAGTGGCACGCAACTACACTATCAAATGGTACTTTGAAAAATATACTTAGGAACTTTGGAAAGAGGATCAAGCAAGTCAAACTAGTGTTCATTTTGTACACCAGATATCAATAAAAATTAGGCTGCATGTGTTTTCAAACAGACTAGACAGCAGCAGCATTTAAAGGTCCTGTGAATTGTTTTTATCATCTTACTCTCCGTTATTGTGGTCCCCTGGGTGATATGTACCTTCTCTCAACTATATTTTATGTATTTATCGAAATCTTTTATGCACCAAGGCTGAGAAAAAAAGTCAGTATCGTTACTTTATCATTGTAGAACGACTTGTATGTTTTGCATGCTCACATTCTCTCTGAAGAGTTGACCGGCTCAAAAATTTTAAAAACGAAACTGGTGGAACAGTTTACTCCATATGACGGTGCCAAAGAAATAAATACTAAACATTTCAGCTTCATCAACTCTAAGATTAATCTATGCATACTTTTGCAAATTGCAAGTACTATAGTGGCTAAATAAAGATTCTTGCTCCTAATCCCTTACCTAATGTCTTTTCTGATGCTGTTCCGTTACCCAATAAGAGAAAAGGCCAAAAGAATACCGTTTTATCTGCTGCTCTTATGTTGTATGGGTTTCCAGGTACCAAATATTTTGGGGCTTCATTGCAGAAGGGACCCCAGTTTGCCTTTCACGACATGTTTCAAAGTGGCATTTTTCACTCGGGAAAGTTTGAGCAAAGCAATCAGATTGGACACATCAAATTTGAAGATGAATCAATTTACAGTTCTCAATTTGCAGTACCCATAACAAATGGTCAAGAGTTATCCAGGGCCTCCAACTCCAGCAGTTGTGCTCTCTCTCTTCTGTCAGCTCAGTCACAGGATCTAACACGCTATTCAGCTGGTTCCCATATATCTCAAGGCATCTGCACACAGCACAGTGGTGGCCAAGTTTCTGATACACCTTTTGGGATAAGTTCTCTGGATAAATATGTGCCAAGTCAGTCTTTTTCACGTGAGATAAACTCTATGGAAGTTACCCAGAACAGACCCATGACGCCTTCTGATGTTGGTCATGCTCTTCAACTTGAAGTCCATGGAGATGATACCTACAAACCATCAGATATGTTAAATGCCAAGTATCGTCCTCCTGTTGAACATAGCTCCACTGTTGATCTGTTCCAATTATCATCACATCTTCAGAGGGTGGAGCAGCAAAGAAATTCTCTTCAAGTGAAGCACGAAAATGAGGACGGCTGCTTTTTTCCAACCATGTGAGGACTGAGGGGATTGTAAGCTTAGTGTCATTAACCGATCCATTTTATCGGTATCTTTATTGTCATAGCCTAGTATTTAGGACTATTTTCTCAATGAATGACATTCGTTTTAGTATGTCAAGGGAAGCTAGGAAAACTATAGCCATGGTGGTTGATGTTCAAGTAGAGGTAAAGGGAAATCAAGAAATAGACATCTATCTCTAATTGTATAGCACAGATACCACTGGCACAGGAGGATCTAGTCTTTTGTTTGACATTTACAAGCAAATGTAGTTTCTTTTTGCCTGGGGTGGCTATCCAATATTGAAACTCTAGCCCAACTAAAAAACATGTCAGTATGTCATTTATTGATACAGGGCTTTTTGACCTTACCTGGTAGATAAAGCCAATAGTTAGACCCCAACAATTATGAACCGAAATTAATCAAGTCAGCGACAAGTTTTACCAACAAAGAGTGCTTAACTGACTCAGTTATCTATTTACGATTGACTTGTAGCTTATTAAACCAATGCTACCAGAAAATTTTTCCTCTCTGATTACATTCCTCGCTTAGTCTATTGGAGCAGTAATGCTGACGACCAGTGTCTAAACACACACTCTCCATTATTTAGTTAACAGTACAGACAGAACAGCAAGGGAACAAAACGAGTGAAGAAATCACTTTCGTTTAAGGGACAGCGAGGTGAAAACGACATAAACTGTCCACAATTATGGAGCATGATGTAAGTATGTCATGTATATCATTCCATGCATAATGCATAATTTTAAACAGTTGTTAATTCTAGGGAGTTCTCGTGCACCCAGCTAGGTCCAAGGGGTATATTCAAGGGGGCTAAAGATTAAAAAAGGATGCAAAATGGAATCAGGCCACCAGGAAAAAAGACGTTATAATTTAATGCTCACTCTACTTTTGCTTTTCTGAGTTATTTATTCATCTGGGTTGGCTCTTCTGTGGTCCAAGAGAAGAGATAAGGAATTTTAAGATTGGATAAGTTTTCAACCCTACTAAAATATACAAGAACATGAGTGCTCTGTGGAAAGATGATAGTCTAGGAATGGTCCTTAAGGGCAAAATCACTTTTTGCAAATATTGCCTTACATGGTCTCGTTTCAGATGTCTATATAAAGAAAAGAAAGGAAAAATTTACTATACGTGGTATTGCTTTTCCTGTTCCACTGAGGAATCCCCTTTACAGCCTAAGCATTCTTCAAAGTTCAAAAGAAACTATTCAAGAGCTAGAATGGAGCCAGCAAATTCCCAGAGCAATTCTGACTTTTTAATTTTCATGAAATACAACTTGTTCTTATTATAATGCAGCAGCCATCAACAAAGGCATATAGTTGCTGCAATATGATTATCAACAGAATTATTTTAAACATCCATATTATTGTGTGGGGGGTCTTAATGTACCTACTATGAGAATTTTCAATTATTTCTTCCAGCTGTTGCTATCCGTGGGGTATCTGTTGTATCTGGAAGCCTATAAAAACATTTATAATCACTAGTATTATTTTATTGACCTTTACTTTTCTCAATAACTTTAATATCTTAATTCTTATATCAGCAGCATCTTTCCATGGCTGCATTGGTTAAGGATACACAATAAGACTCCTGAGTAAAGGTTTTTCTTTGGTGGGAGATAGGTGTCAAATGTGGAGTAAGAAAAGTAGGGAATGTTCATTCTTCATTATATGTATATTTGATTGGTTGGTTTTGAAATTTTCTCCCTTTCTTTATGATCTTATGTTGCTGGGGGTTCTGTTCTTTAGCCACTATAAACCTCTGATGAGAAAGGGAAAGATTTAAAATTTAAGTTTCAAATAATTATTGTGAAGATTTTGCATAAAAATATGAACCACCGGAATTAAAGGGGAACTCTGGAAAGGGATGAATTCTAAGAGAAGATTGGGAATTTATTAATATGGATGCAGGTCATTGATGCATGCGGGATATAACTTGATAATGATAGGCCCAAAGTTTTTTTCTTTTTGCTACACATAAGTATTCTCCTTACCTTATTCGAAACACTGTCGAGCACTAAATCTAAGTTCCTCTCCTAACAGAAATTCAAATGTTGGTTCATCACATTATGAGAAACTAGTCCTTTTCGCTAGACTCAACCCTAGCTAATAAAAGTTTTTAATATATGAATAAGAATTATACTTGTTTGATGAGAAAGGCCTAGTTAGATGGGCGAGGTATCTTGTTTTGCAAATTATATCTGAATTTTTTTAAAGCCTTTAAATGTATTGTAATTTCTTTTCTGAGTTTATTGACTGAAATCAATTTGTTTTTTGGGTACAAAATTGAGGCTATATCCTACTAGTGAGCATACTTTTTCCCATCTTTTATAATCACCAATTTATATATTTCCATATATTTACATGAAAATGCATCATATGTAAGTTGTATATAAGTACTAGACAATAGCATAGTGTTTTAGAATAACAGCAGCATTGAGTCTACAATCTGATAAGGTATCCATTAGACGAAAAAGTTTAGCTCATCTTCGTTTATTTGGAGTTATAGTTTCTGTCACCAAAGGCACACTCTGCAACATTATTTAAGTGAAAAAATTAATCTGCAAATTTGTGCAGTTGGACTTAATTTTTAGTCAAGTTCTTGTAGTTTTTTTTTTAGAGTTAATATATTTTTTTAATTTATGAAATTTGATCTCATATTAATTTTGATTCCTGAAATTTAGAACTAATAATTTTAGTCTATAAAACCTTGTTATGGGAACCAAAATTATTTAAGCTGATCAAAACGAAATTAAATTTTAGGAGCCAAAATAAAAATGGGGTTAAATTTTAGAGATTAAAAATAATATTAAGCTCTTTTTTATTATTATATTATTATACTCACACACACACACACACACACAAACACAAGCGTTTCATCCTTCGTGCCCGTTCCCGATATTAGATAAGACGGTGGGGTGAATGGGACAGATTGTTCATGCGAGAGAAAAGTGTGCGCGGGCATATATTTTACAAATTAGAGTATTTCATATATATATATATATATATATATTTACAAATTAAAGTATCCTCAAATCATTCAGGTTTTGAGACTAATTTCTGTTAAGTGAAAAGCGTTAAGATTAGAATCCTCTTAACAAGTATATTTTTCAGAATTCGAAATTATAAAAAAAATACATATTTTTCAAGGAAGAAGCGAACAAGTGGAACTACATGGGTTGTTTGATTTCTTATTTTGTTTTCAGAATAATTTTTTATTTTAAACAAATAAAAATAAAAAATTGTTTAAAAATAAGTTTTTGATTACGTGTTCTGAAAAAAAATTAAAATTATTTTGAAAAACCAAAAAACTAGAACATCTTTTTTTTCTGTTTTTTTTTTAATTTTATTCTGAAAAATTAAAAACAAGTGGAAGACATGAGATCTTTATTAAGGGCATTTATGTAAATATAAAATTTATTTTTAACTTTTCGTTTCACTACTTAATGTATGTTTTTCAAAGTAGTGGTTCACATTTATTTTTTTATTTTTAAAACTTATTCCAAAAAAATTACTCTATAAAATTGTTTTAAAAACATAAAAATAGATGATGAAATCAGATAATTCCAGAAAACAAGTACTAACAACAAAGAATGACGAATTCCGGATTAATCTAAATTTTTTATTGGGAGTTCATGTTGATATAGAATAAGGCAGATAGAATAGAACTATAAGAAAAGGCAAAGCTATACCAGAAAGTATTTTAATTAAAAATTAAAAAAAATTAAAATACTTAATAGAGCTTTGACATCATTTATAGGTCCTGTCTGAGTCGGTGCACATTAGACTGGATTGGGGTAAATATTCCAGTATATTGGTAGGAGAGAACTGAATGTTTCATGCTGAAAAAATTCGGAAAAAAAAAAATTATAAGCTCATGATAATTTTACACCATAATTAATGATAAGCTATCTCATCCTTATAAGAAGAAAAACATAATATCCCAATCCACTTTATCTATCATATTTATATATTTTTTTTCAAAGTAACCCTTTTAATAATGATAGTTCTGGTCAATACACTTGATTAGTAAGGATATTTTAGGAAAGACAACACCTATTTAGAACAAATAACTAACTCAACTTACTTAATCTCTTCAAATTAGTCAAATGACTTTTATAATTAGTATCGGAGGTAATATTAATTTTGAATCTCCTCGTGCACCGCACAAGGAAGTAAACTCTAGTTTGGAAAAAAGAAAGAAAGAGGAAGATGGTTGCATAGAGTATTGGATTTGATCTAATATTTATTACTACCTCTGACTTTTTTTATGTTTATTTTGATCCTAAATATAAGACCCTAATCTACTTTATCTCTCATACTTATGTATTTTTTTTCAATATAATCCTTCTAATAATGATAGTGTTTTTTTTGACAATCTAATAATAATAGTTCTAACCAATACACTTAAATAATAAGGATATTTTAAAAAATACAACACCTATTTATTACAAATAACTAACTTAATTTTTTTTTTAATCTACTCAAATTAGTTAATTAATTTTTATATTTAGGACTGGAGATGATATATTATTATTAATATTTGGGACCACAAACAATTGAGGTTTGCCTACTAAAATTTGGGCTAGTTTTGGGCTTTCCGTGTTAGAATTAATGGGCCTCTGTTCTTCTTATAGTGGGCAAACAATTGCTGGGAATAAGTGGGCCTTAGAGCAGTAACTTTTAATTTTAATAAGATTTGAGTGATAAACTTGGAGAATACCTATACTTACCCAAAAAGAAAGATCTGGGCGATCTAAATTTGCCGGAAAATATTACTTCTATAATCGGCTTTAGCTTTTCATTATCGTTCTGTCAAATATCATTGTTTAGCTGTGCATCCTTTCCCCCGCGATGATTTTAAAATTCAAATTCACAAGCATAATCATAAGGTTTACAAGTTAAAGAAAGGCATGATTGCAACCACGCTGGAATATCTACTGCAAACAAAGCATTGCCCGCTACTTTATACTCATTTTAAGATAATGACATCAACTAATGATTATCATAACAATGATAACGAGAACAACGCATTAATAATTAATAAATATAATAATAATAACTCCTTTCACACAAAAAAGATATATATAATGATGATAATAACAAATATATAATGGTCCTGATAATGAAGTAAAACCGCAAGAAACCAGTGATTTCATAAACTATTCCTATAGATCACTTGGCTGGGCCATTAGCTTGCTTGGAAGACTGAGTTTCTGTGCCGTTAAGCTCATCCCAAGCTTCAATCCAAGTGACCATGGCGTCTGCTAGCTTAATGAAGTAGGGATCAACCTTGCCAAGCTTTTCCCTGACCTGCTTGGACAGCTCAACGTAGCATTTCTGAACAGTGGAGCATTCTTTGGGAAGAGTAGCAGATTGGAAGAAGGGAATGATCTCCTCTTGCCAGAAGATGCCTTTGTACTCCTTTTTCAGATTCACAAACGGATTGCTTGCTTTGCTGTGCCATATGTATGGCAGACCAGTCTTCACTCCTAACCCCAGATGGTCACAGATCACCTTCAAGTTCATCCATCAATGCATCACATGTCAGAACCAGAATTTTCCAGGAAAATTCAGTTACACAGAAACCATATGAAAAGCAGGCATGTAAGAAGAAGGTGTCATATGCATGAAAGACCAATCTTCAATCCCAAGTTCAAACAATCAAAGATCAGATCATATATAAATAAATCAACAAGAAGAAGTCATTGCTTCCTGGCTTTGATGGCCACAGATCATATCATACACCAATGCATCAAGCATAATAAAAAGAGGATTCAAAATAAGGATGCAGAGAGAATCTTTGGCTTAAAAATTTGAAAGCAGAGAGGCTCATGTGATTTGATATACCTTCATGCACCAGCCAGCCCACATATCATCATATCGTCCAATAGGTTGGCCATCACCCATCAGTCCAAAGTACATTGCCGGTCCGATAAGCTCACGGTTGAATGCCAGATTCATACCACACATGGGAAACAAGGTTCCTTTGGGTACAGTCAACACAGCGTCAACATACCTGAAGCACATACTAGACCATAAAAACCAATGTTGTTCAAGAAAGCATATATCGGTTATTACGCACATTGAGTAACAAACCACATACCTGGTATTCCTCTCATGAGGCTTCACAAGCTGCGTTGGAGCATCATAGTCAGGAATGTTGAGCCAGAGGCCATGAGAAACAGCAGTTGCGGCACCCTCACGAAGACTAAAAGGGTAGCCCCGAACAAAGTCAGCACCTTCTCTGTAAGGATCATAAAGCGTATTGAAGAAGTATGGAGTGGATGGAGTTAGGAGATTCTTGATGTGCTGCTCAAGTGCATTGATATCTTTGCCAGATGGGTCTTTTGCAACCTGCATATCAACACAATATATGGGTAGGAAATCAAGTCCATATTCTTTACTAGTCACAATTCACAATTCAGACACATATCCCCTGAACATTCGTTCACATTTTTTGCTTCATATCATTCTGGGGTGCTAATGAAGAACAAAACCCAGATAATTGTTAGCAATCAGGATCAGATTCTTCATCCAGAAGGCCAGCAATAGTAAGGATGAAGCTATCATAAGATCAGCAAGATTATAACTAAACAAATCCAGCTAGAACATAAAGATCTTCAAAGATCAAGTGCTTGTTCACTATTGGCATCAAAATTCATGAATCAAATATGGGCTCCCTCATAATCAGTTAGATCCCGCACAATTCAATTTCACTCGGCAATAGGACTCAATCACCATAACCAAATTAAACTGAACAGGCAAGATCACCCAAAATAATGACTCCCAATAAGAAATGTTCCATCTGGAAACAGGCCCATCTAAGGCCAGAATCTCACACTTCAGCTACCAATTAGTTTAAAAAATTCGGAACGCAAAATACATAATTCAACAAGTAAATTTCAAATCCGCCATTTTCACACCCGCCAACTAAGAGACAGTAGAAGGGGAAAGCAAGAAATTAAGAAAGGAACAAGAACTTACAAAGCAATCATCGTCAATGGTGTAGATGTACTTCTTCTTTGAGACCATGTAGCCAAAGCAGCGACATGCAGAGTCCTTGAAGGAAATGCAAGAAGCCTTAGGACCCAAGATCCTGTTGATATCATCCCGATTGAAGAGCTCATAGTCGAAACCTTCGGGGACCTTAATGGTCTTGGAGGGGTCACCGTCTTGGACTATGATCAAGTGGTAAGGCTGGAAAAATGGACGCCACATCTCCAGGAAATCAAGGTTTCGGATCGTGGGGATCACGATGTCAAGCTCATCTTTCAAAAGGGGCACAGCTTTGGCTGAAGCTCCGGCCATTGGAGATTGCGAAGGTGAAGCAGTAAATCAGAAAGGCAGAGACTCGCAGAAATATCGAAGGTCTTCAGGTTTCAGCTATTTGTCATTTTTGTTTGCCGTATTTATAGGCAAAATTTCTCCTTTTGATTCTCCGTTTCCGTTTTTTAGGTTTTGGTTTGAACTTTTTCCCGCAAATCATTGAAAAGTTCACGAAAAAAATCTGATTCTATGTGTGTGTATTAATACATATTGAATCAGATTAAGGTTTATTTTTCATTCATTATATACATTAATTACGTGTTGTTTGGCATGTAATGACCAGAACTTATAAGATTTTATTTAAAAATATTTTTACTTTTGAAAATCAAATTATTAGAACAAGTTCAACAAATTATTATTGTCTGAAAATTTAATTTTTAATGTTTTTTTGCCAACACTTTTAATGTATTTTGAAGCATTATTAGTTTATTACCATAGCTCAATTAAACTGAATTTAATAAACCGATAGCATGAACGCCGTCTATTTTTGTATACCACAAATGACAATAATCATAACGAACAAAACGGTGATTGCCACAGGCACATAAATTGAAGTAGATGTGTACATGGACAGGACTAGATAGGACTGGATCTCCGATGCCTAGCCCGAAGTATGAGGGGATTGTATTTTGTAGCCCACTGCCCCTTAGTCCTGCCTATAGAAGCCTTAACCATTTTGAGCTGAGCATGGGCGGGCTGGGCAGGACGGACTTCACTGTCCAAATGGTGATGACCTGTCGATATCACATGTAAAAAACTTTTGTCCATACCTAAAAATTACACTTCATAATTTTACATTTTCACACATTAAAATTATCCAGAAATAATTCAAAAACAAGTCTTAGCAAATATCTAAATAAATAATACTCATAATCCATTTAGAACAAAACAACTCTCAAGATTATAATTAAAGCCTTGAAATTCAAACGATTTGCATCAATCTCGAGAAAGTTGAGAAAAGAATAAAACATCTAAAAAATTGAAGAGGGGTTAAAGCATATTAAGATATTTTCATTGAGGGTTGGGGATGGCAATGTAATAGAAGCTTGACTATCCATTCAAGTGGCAAAAATTAAATGTTACCTAAAAGATTGCAAAAAGATATTAAAACTGAAGCAATGGGCTAACAGGAATAATGTAGACTATATAAAAATAAGGTTAAAATAATTGTAAAAAGAAAAATAAAAAATCTTAAAATCTTATAATAATTTAATATAACCACTTTTAATAAGTAAACACTTATTATGCAATACAATGCAGTTAACAGTCCACACAACTAAAAGACTTCTTTTCATCATATGACTTGTTCATAAAAAATTAATACAAAATAACTAAATATAAATTAAATAAAAAATAAAACATGTAATTCAGATAATTAAAGCCTAATTTTCTTTCCCTACTTCTACCACAATCTTGTTTTCTATCTTGCATAAATATTTAAAATTGTTTATTTATACAAATATGTAATGTCTGAACTTCATTCTCTAACAAAAAAAGTTGTTAACAGCATAGAAGGGAAGATTGACTTATAAATAGCCAACATTACAATAACAATACAATAGGATATACCCAATAAATTAAGCTCACAAAGAACAAGTTAAAGCAAGATACTATTGCTTCTTTAGAATAATTAGATCCCCTATAATGGAAAACTAGCATACATGTGACAATAATAAATTAAATTGTAAAGAGGAGGGAGAAAACTTTTTTTTTTTTGGTAAAGAAATGTAATATATTAATATTATTTCATAAATTATAATATATATAATTCGGGTTTGGCAGTATATCTTGCTCGATACTCAGCCCTACCCATGAAATGCCTAGTCCAAAGATGTCCATTCTTTTTCAGGCTCTTTTTATTTTTGGACTGGGCTGAGCAATTTTTCTTCGAGCTCAGTGGGTATTTGGACTTCATACACACCCCTATTGAAGTGGGTAAATATCTTTTTTTTTTCTTTTTGCCACCGCAAAAAATATCTTGTTATATGGTATTATTTACTATTTTATTATTCCATTATAATATTATTTTCGTGCTGATTGACTATAGTTAAAAAAGAAACCTCTGGTCAAGGAAAAAAAAAGTAAAGAAAGAAACCTAGTTAAACTTCCTTATATCTGTCATGTCAAAATTATCAATTATATATGGATATGTGTCTTTTTATTATTTTATATAAATTTATAATTAAATATTAATATTTTAAAAATATGATTTATGATTATGTATGATTTAAGAACTTGACATGATAGATATGAAAAACTTAATCTAATTATTGTCTTATATTAAATGATTGTATTTCTGTTGTTCAATTAAATTTGTTACTACTAGACTATATTGAAAAAATGAATGTGGGCAAGAATGGGGGATGTCACAACCATAGACGTGGGATCAGGATTCTTTGTGGTGCAGTTCACTCACAAGGAAGATTATAACGCAGCGCTGACTGGCGGACCGTGGCTCCTCTATGATCATTACCTGGCCGTGCAACCTTCGAAGCAAGTGTTTGATCCCGAGGGCGAGGAGATAAACAAGATTGCTGCATGGATCCGCATCTCCAAACTCTCTCTCGACTTTTATGATACAGGGATTTTACATGTGCTGGGGTCGCAAGTGGGAAGAGTGCTGAAAGTCGACAAAACCACGCTTGGCAGGAAGAAGGGAAGATTTGCTCGTATTTGCGTTGAACTTGACCTGTCTGCACCACTATGCCCTATGATCCTTGTTAATGGGAGAGAGTATAAAGTTCAGTATGAGAGTATCCATCTCATATGTTTTACATGTGGACGCTATGGGCATGATGCAGACCATTGCACTAGTGGAAATATAGGGGGAAGCAATGTAAAAACCACCAGTGGTGATGCGGCAGAGTTGAATAAGCAAAACGATGGTACGATGGGAGAAGGGGAGGAAGGAAAAAATAAGATGGAGAAGGAGACCCCCGCCGTCACTCCCTTCGAGAGCTGGATGGTGGTACAACGGACTCGGCGGTTCCGGCGACTGAACCAAATTGTCGACAAAGGGAGCGATTCTGGGCGGGAGATCCGTGGGACTCAAATCATGGGAAGTCGAGGATCTCGCTTCAGTGCTTTAAGTGAGGGAGACTTTCAAGGCGAAGAAGGAGGGGCGACAAATCAGGAAAAGATTTCCACACAGGATATGAATAAAAAAGGGGCATCGTATTCCCTCTATAACCCCCTGGGGGTTGGGCCATCCACTATGAAGAAAAATGGGCCACATCCAAAGAAGATCATTAATGGGCCGGAAAAGTCGAGCAAAGGAAAGGGAGTAACTCAAATGCCCGCAACACTGGGAGCAAGTGATATGGCTATTCTTATAAAGGTCAAAGCTGGCTTGGGCCCACATATGAATGAACCGTCCTTGGTGAATCAGAAAGATCTAGTACTTGCAGAAGGAAAAAGGATAACGTCTTACGTTCATCCCTCCCAACCTCCCGACATGCATCTCGAGCATGTCCAAAAGTGCGACCCATTGTCAGGAAGCACGACAGGTTGCGAGGTCGCAGACAATCCTCATGACCCTGGCGAAACGTCAACAGTAAACTTATACATGCATTCCAATCCTTTATCAGAGTGCATAGCGGACGAAGTAATGACCGACATGGGGACGTTTGTTCCTCTTGAGCAAAATCGCTGTTGAGCCCCTACCTCCTCTTGACAAGTTATCTATGGAAGACAATATTCTTATTTGGAACTCACAGGGTGTTGGAGGGAAAGCGTTTGCAGGATTGATTCAAAGTTTGAAGAAAAAATATAAAATTAGTTTTCTAGCATTACTTGAACCTCGTCAAAAGAGTGAGAAGGCCCGACAACTTGCTCGACGGTGGGGTATGAAAAACATGGAAGTGGTTGATGCGGTGGGCTTTAGCGGTGGAATCTGGTGTTTCTAGGAAGATGGCGTCGACTTTAATGTCACCTACAAGTCCTCACAAGTGTTGCATGGGCGATTCTATGGTAGTACACATGCTGCGTGGGATCTCTCTGTGATCTACGGGCACCCGAATGTCTCCCAACGACATCATTTATGGCAGCAGCTACGTGAAATTGAGGAGCGAGGAGTTACAAGGTGGTGTATAGGGGGAGACTTTAATGCAACCTTAAGGAACAATGATCGACGCTCCCATGCGAGAGTACCGGTAGGCCCTGATAGAGAGTTCAGCCGTTGGGTTCGGGAGAGTGGGGTTACGGAGGTGGAGTTTCAAGGGCCACAGTTTACTTGGAGTAGAGGAACATGCTCAAGCCGGTTAGATCGCATCGTGGCGTCTGAAGGTTGGAGGAACAAATTCAATGAAGCGTTGTGCCTGCACCTACCCAAGTATAAATCGGATCACTGCCCCCTACTCCTAAAACTAAATGGGGGGTAGAGCAATAGAACCCAAAACAGTCCGTTCCGCTTTTTCGCCCCTTGGGATGGCTTCTCAAGAGTCGTGAAGGATACCTGGAGCTCGACTAGAGAATGGGGACAAAATGTGGAGAATTTCAAAAAGAGGGTAGTCGTTTGGAACAAAGAAGTTTTCGGTAATATAGATAGACGCAAGTCCACGTTACTTTCAAGGCTTGAGTATCTCGCAAAGACCAGCGGAGACGATCCAAGTTGGAATTCTGAAAGGAACAGGGTATGGGAGGAGCTCGAGCAATGCTTGGTACAAGAAGAGCTAATGTGGCTTCAGCGCTCACGTGTTAACTGGTATTCACAAGGAGACAGAAACACTAGTTATTTCCACAATGTCACCAAGAGTAGATCTAGAAGGAAAACGATTGAGGCCCTAAGAACTGAGGAAGGGGAGTGGTGCTATGATCCAGAGGAATTAAAACGTGCGGGTACAGCATTCTTCCAAAGTTTATATTCAGCCAAACAAGATTGTAGCGAGCTCATAGACTTTGGCAGTACATACCCGCAGATCCCGTCTGACAGGCTAGACTTCTTGGGGGGCAATATATCATCAGAGGAAGTCAAGAAGGCTATCTTTAGTATGGGTGCTCTGAAAGCACCAGGCCCAAATGGACTAAACCCTTTGTTCTTCCAGAGCCAGTGGCACATTGTGGGAGAGTCGATCATAAAACTGACTCAAAAATTTTTTAGTAACCCATCTGAAATTGAAGGAGTCAACGGTACTAATATTGTGTTAATTCCAAAAGTGGAGACGCCCCAGACATTCAGAGATCTGAGACCGATTAGTCTGTGTAATGTAATCTACAAGGTCTTTACCAAAACTTTGGCAAATAGACTAAAGACCATCATGCCATTGCTAGTAGCTCCCAATCAATGCAGCTTCGTTCCAGGTAGACAGATACAAGATAACATCATTCTGGTTCAGGAGATCGTCCACTCTATGTCCAGGATGAAAAGGAGAAAAGGCTTCATGGCTTTGAAAATTGATTTGGAAAAGGCCTATGATCGGGTACATTGGAATTTTGTGATAAGATGTCCAAAGGAGTTTGGGGCGCCAGCTAACTTCACTAATGTTATCCTTGCCGCCCTTAAGACAGCCAGGATACAAGTTCAGTGGAATGGAGCGAAGGGGTCAGTGTTTGCCCCCACACGTGGGCTTAGACAAGGGGACCCCATCTCACCTTATTTGTTTGTGTTGATCATGGAGAAGTTGGCCCATCTAATACAGAACGAAGTACAACAAGGCAATTGGCAACCCTTTAAACTAAAAAAGAATGGTACGTCTATTTCTCATCTGTTCTTCGCTGATGATTTAATTTTGTTCGCCGAAGCAAGCTTGGAACAAGCGGGCATTGTCAAGGCCTGCTTAGATGACTTCTGCATGGCGTCCGGGCAGAAAGTGAATGACTCCAAATCACGCATATTTTTCTCTAAGAACATAAACCACAACAGATGCAAGGAGATAAGTGAATTCCTTGGCTTCACCTGTGACAACCGCTCTTTCAAAACCATTTTAGATTAAATCCAACAATTTATTTGAATGATTAACCATGATAGAAAAGAAGAAACCTTAAAATTTTAAAATCGCTATCATGGTTAAAAGAAATAAACTTATATTACGAGCCACATCAATCGTTCACTTGGGCCTTGGACTTTCAAAGTCCAGAAATATCATTCAACCGTTAGCCCAAACCAAACTTACACTTTCAAACACACGAACTGATAAAACATTTTAATATAAGTCATAGAGCCCATTAGTGAAAAATCAACACTATCAAATCAGTGTAATACGCAAAGTCTAAAATGTCTCGGACCTCCTCACGGCCCTATCATACCAGATAGTAGTAATTAAAAGTATTATTTTACATCATGATAGTAGATGAGCCCTATGTGGCAATATATAACAAGTCAACACATAGAACAAAAGCAGGGAGGCTATACAAGCTATAACAGCACACTATGCCTCCGGAGCCTTCCCTGATGGGCCACCACCTGAACTATCGCCTGAAAATGTTAAACCACGGGGTGAGACAAATGCCTCAGTAACCAACTTTCCAACTCATCATACATACTAACACGTGCTCGTGAGGTGTCAAGTGGGACAGTTATAAATTCTCGAGAACTATAGATATATCCATAGAAATATAATTTCAATCATCCAAACCCTCACTATGGGGGCCAACACACAAGCCACATAAGTCTATCCCTCACTCTGGGGGATCAATCAACCATATGGGCCTATCCCTCACTTTGGGGGACGAATAAGAAGCCACAAAGGCCTATCCCTCACTATGGGGGACGAAAGAAGAAGCCAACCAATGTGCACCAATGGCGGCCTTACCACGTGGTAGGATAGGACTCAATCCAAAATCCAAATAACAACCAATCATTCACAATATAATAAAAATGTCTCAATCTTTTCTCAGTATAATCCATAAGATATAAATCATATATCTTTTCCAAACTTCTCAATCACAATTCCAAAAATCCCACAAGACAATTTTCATAGCTCAAAAGATATAACATATCTACTCAAGTTCCAAATATCAAATATTATTCTAAAAACAGCAAAAATACTCACAAACAACATATTAGCACATATAACAAGTGGAAAGTGGTTACCTCTCGCCAAAGCAATACTAAGGATTACCACAAGGTCAATCCTTTGCTCAACCAATAATTAATCTACACAATTAATATAACCACATATTAATATAAACTAATTAATTAATTAATTAAACTTCTCTATATCATTTAAATTTCTAACAACCCCAAATTATCTATTTACCACCTCCAAATTATTTACCTTAATAAAAAGGATTTTCAACAATTTCCAAATATAAAATTTTTATGTTATAAATTCTAAAAATCTTCATTTAAGTTTAAACCTCAAAATCAAACTATCAAAAATTCAATAATACTTCAAATATTTATAACTAAATAATATAATCAAAACTTTAATGGTATAACTACCATATATATATTTTCATAAATAATAAACTTTTTAGCTACAATAATTATTTTAAAACCTCCAGTCACCCAATAAATAAAACTAACCCGATTAAAACCTCAATAATATATCAAACAACCCAAATAAATTATTTAACTTAAATTTAATCGGTAAAAATATGGTATATCTCATACATAACATATTTTCCACTAAATAAATTAATTTAAATACTAAAACTAGCAAATAGAGAAATCTAAACCGATTAAAATTAACAACTCATTTACTTCTAAATTTCTATAGTCATCTTTTGTCAAAACTCAATACTTATATCATATATAAGTCTCAAAATTTTCTCTAATCACTATGGTAATACTACTATTATGAAGCATAAAATATATATGAAATATTTATGAAGAAAGTTTGATGAAAAGAGATAATTTTATGTACCTAAAATATCTTCAAAGCTTGCCCTTCTTTCACCGGTATGCTCCTTTCGCTCTTGCGCACACACAAAACTCTCTTTCTTCTTTCTCTCCAGCACGCACTCATTCAGCCTTTCTCTCCCTCTTTTATCCTTCATTTCCCCAACTACCTTTCATTTTTTTCTTCCCTCATTAATTCCTCTCCCCCATTTCTTCCTTCCCTTTTCAACGTTTCCCTTTTCAACCTCAACTTTCCACCGAATTCGGTGGAAAGTGAGACTTTCTTTTTTTTTTTAAAATAATATATAATAAAATTTATTATATTATATTATATTATATTATTTTTCAATTACTTTTTTTTTGAATTTTTTTTTTAAAGGATATTACAATTCTCCCCACCTAATAAGAATTTTGTCCTCAAAATTCAAACAACCACACACAAGAAATAAAAACAAAAGTAACTCAAAGTGCTTACTAAGAAAAAGGTAAGGGTACTCATAACGCATCCGTTCCTCTGTCTCCCAAGTAGCATCACCGGGACTCATGCCCTTCCAAAAGACTTTAACAAGACGGATAGTTTTGTTCCTTAATTGTTTATCCTTAACGTCCAAAATCCGCTCTGGTTCTGTTGGATAGGTCAAATTATCTCGCAACTCGACCTCTTCAGGCTCAATAACATGAGACGGATCGGATGATACTTTTTCAACTGTGACACGTGGAACACGTCGTGTAAACTGGAAAGATGTGGCGGCAGCGCAATTCGATATGCAACAGGTCCAATTCGCTCCAAAATCTCATAAGGACCCATAAATCGGGGTGTAAGCTTCTTGGCTTTAATGGATCTACCAACACCAGTAACAGGTGAAACCTTCAGAAATACATGATCACCCACTTCAAATTCTAAAGGTCTCCTCTGACGATCTGCATAACTCTTCTGTCGACTTTGGGCCATCAACAACTTCTGCTTGATCAGCTCAATCTTTCTGGTTGTGATGTCCACTAAATCTGGGCCAATAATTGTTCTTTCACTTAATTCAGTCCAACAAAGTGGAGATCTACATTTCCTCCCGTACAAAGCTTCATATGGTGCCATTTGAATACTAGCGTGATAGCTGTTGTTGTAGGCAAACTCAGCTAATGACAAGTGAGTGTCCCAACTACCCTTTAGCTCTATAGCGCAAGCCCTCAACATGTCCTCGAGAGTCTGAATCGTCCTCTCAGTCTGTCCATCAGTCTGAGGATGATAAGCAGTACTAAACTTGAGCTTGGTGCCCATAGCTTCATGTAATGACTGCCAGAAGTTCGATGTAAACCTCGGGTCCCTATCTGAAATGATAGACTCCGGCACTCCATGAAGTCGAACAATCTCATCTATATACAGCTTTGTCAATCGTTCTAACGAGTAAGTACTCTTGATAGGCAGGAAGTGCGCTGACTTAGTCAATCTATCTACAATTACCCATATCGCATCATAGCCAGCCGGGGTTCTTGGCATACCAGTAATGAAATCCATGGAAATACTATCCCATTTCCATTGGGGAATATCAAGATTCTTTAATAGTCCTGGAGGTCTCTGATGTTCTATCTTGACCTTTTGACATGTCAGACATTTCATTACAAAGTCCGTGACATCCCTCTTCATTTTTGGCCACCAGTAGTTCCTTTTCAGGTCTTGGTACATCTTGGTTATCCCTGGGTGTATCGTGTAATTACTTCGATGCGCCTCTTCTAAAATAGTCCTTTTGATTTCCTCATTATTAGGGACACAAATCCTCTTCTTGTACCTCAGGATTCCTTCTTCACCAATTTCATAATCAGGCACACCAGGGTCTCCACTTCCTCTCGGATGCTCAATAACCGGTCATCCTCCATCTGTGCAGCCTTCAAGTCTCGAAAGAACTCATAATCACCCAAAATTGATTGTAGAGTGGCTGGAGCCTCATGCACCACTTGGAGATCTCTCAATCTCTCTAAGCAGTAGTGTTCCTCCAAACTCAGTGAAACACATGCACCGTTTTCCTACTCAAAGCGTCTGCAACCACATTGGCTTTACCTGGATGATACTTAAGCTCAAAGTCATAGTCCTTGATGAATTCCATCCACCGACGTTGTCTATTATTCAGTTCCTTCTGATCTATTAAATACTTCAGGCTCTTGTGATCGCTGAAGACTTCAAACTGTGATCCATATAAGTAGTGCCTCCAGATCTTCAATGCAAAAACCACCGCCGCTAATTCCAGGTCATGTGTAGGATAATTTTCCTCATGTGGCCTTAATTGCCTAGATGCATAGGCAACCACTTTTCCTTCCTGCATCAAGACACACCCTAAACCCTTAAGTGAAGCATCAGTGTAAAGGGTGTACGGTTTACTAGGATCTGGAATAGTCAACACTGGAGCCGTGGTCAACTTAGCCTTCAGTTCTTGGAAGGCCGCCTCACACTTTTCACTCCAGATAAACGGTTGGTCTTTCTTGGTCAACTTAGTTAGAGGCATGGCGATTTGAGAAAATCCCTTGATGAATCTTCGATAATACCCAGCTAAGCCCACGAAACTTCGTACCTCCGTCACAGATTTTGGTGTCTCCCATTTCAATACGGCATCGACCTTGCTAGGATCAACAGCTACTCCCTCGGCAGATACTACATGGCCTAAGAACTTCACTTCTCTAAGCCAGAACTCGCACTTGCTTAACTTAGCATATAACTGATGATCCCTCAATATTCGCAATGCAATGTAAAGATGCTCTCGGTGTTCTTCCTCATTCTTGGAGTATATTAGGATATCATCTATAAACACCACAATAAACTTATCTAAATACGGCCTAAAGATCCGGTTCATATAGTCCATAAACACCGCTGGAGCATTCGTCAAACCAAAAGGCATTACTAGGAACTCGTAATGTCCGTATCTCGTACGAAAGGCCGTCTTCGGGATGTCCTCTGCTCTAACTCTTAATTGATGATATCCAGACCTTAAGTCAATCTTAGAAAACACCG